GTAGTAGTAGTAGTAGTAGTAGTAGTAGTAGTAGTAGTAGTAGTAGTATTGATTACCACGGTGCTGTCGGTGATTGTAGTAGCGACGATAACAGAGGCCGTGGCGGCAGCGTCAGCAGTAGAAGTATCAGCAATATCAATAGTCGTAGCTTTTGTTTTAGAGTCAAACGCCGTGTTCATAAAATTAAACGATTCAATAACTAAACCGCTGTTGCTATTAAACGGAGCGTGTAATTCTTTATTCTCTATTCCACCCACGTAACGATATTCTCGCAACGCGGTCGCGCTAGTTAAACTGAGAATATCCGACTCGCTTGTCACTGGGTATTCAACAAAACCTAAGCAATCGATACTATCCGCACATCCGATATTTAGGTCGGGTAGTAATTGAATTTCAATATTATTTCCATTGTGTTCCGCGCATTCTTGCGTTATATATTTAAAAACATCGTATTCGTATTTTTTCAAATCGTTAAAGACGGCGTTTAATAAATTATTCACGACTTCTTCGCTCTCAAAGTCAAATATATCGTTATTGAATTTTATATCACTGGCGGTCTGCTTGGTGATAGTTGTAGTATTCCCACCGATGCGTCCTGATTGAAAAAAAAAATAATAATTTAAATTAAGCTATTGTATTATTTTTATTGTATTTTTTTTTATTAGTACCATTTCCGATTTGTACTTTCATTATTGTAGCGTTTTAAACTTCTTCTTTGTCGGAAGAGCTTCTCTTCTTCTCAAAGAGCACGAGTCTTACTAAAATTCTTCGCTACGAGTCGAATCTTTATATATATTTACTTTTAGTTTTCTTCGATACTCTTGACGTAGTGTTCGCAGTTTACAAAGATACGCATTCGGGATTATTTCTCAATATGTGCGAAATCAATTTTTCATCCGTCTTTTTATCTTCGTTACTCGAGACGTAAATTTTAGATTTTATAGAATTTAATGCGAAAACGTAGCGGTTTCCATTTGCATCGCGCAACAGTAATACGTAAAATTTCTTACACTTTAGTTTATTCCAATCGGCGTTGGCGTCGAAAAACGTCAAATATTATTCCGATTCGCAATCGTCGAATTCGTGTTGGGCAAATATTAATAATTTTACAAGTTTGTTTTTGAAAACCAACACCGAGTGTCCGTGACTATTGTAATCTACCAAGGACCCCGGAGTCAGTCTTGTGGAAATATTGTTCAACATTAAAAACGAATCATCGAAAATTACGCGTTGCACGCGAAACCTGCACAAATGCATGGCCAACGTGTCCGTTGTCATTCCGTTGTACGATGATTCGGGATATAAAAAGCGTTTGATCGACTTCAACCAACCTATCATAAAATTATTAATACTGTTTTCTGTGTCGTATTCCAGACAATACTTTGTCAAAGACACTTCATCTTTGGCGTACGGGTGGTTTATTCTTTTCAACGATTCTTCGTTAAACCTGTACGCCAGACTCACCTCTTCGGCGTCTGTATTGCCAATGCTCTCTACACCGCCCAAATTATCGTCGTCAGCGTCGACGTAATACAAAGAAGAATGACGCGTATTGTCATAAACGACATCGCTCTCGTTGTTTAAATAAGAACTTACTTTATTTAGAATAGGATTTTTACTCAAATAAAGTAAAATACAACTGGTAATGAACGATTTAATAGGAATATTCATTTTATTTATTATCAATATACAAAATAAATCAACAACTCTATATATCATTTATGAATTCCTACAACATGCTGGTAGATTGAATTTTTGAGAATTTCCGGTGTATCGGTTTTTGAAACTCTACTGATTGATCTCATCACATCCGATGCGTACTCCATCTTTTCGGCAAATCCATATTTTTCAAATATTATTTTATCTTGTATTTTGCCAAACGCTTCGTAATCCTCTATTCGGGTTACAAAATCATCCGCAGCAATGACATAAGGTATAGAAATGATTTTATACTCAAAAACATAAGCAGTAATCATGTACACGATATTCTGGACAAGAGCGTAAAAAGGAATGTTGCTCCGGTGAGCATCGTTACCGCTGAATCTAGACATCATGCGACGGTGCGTGTTTTCGTAAAACGGATCGACCATTATCAAGACGTCGTGATTCGCGTAATACGCCAGACTCAATTCGTTTTGTGAATAATTGAGAAAGTTTAAAAATTCGTAAACCAAAATCTGAACAAATTCTATACAATCATTAATGTTTGCCAACTTTTCAAACATCGGCATTATAAATGTCCATAGGTAATTGTCGAGTGGACCGCGATCGCCGATCATGCATCCGTTATAATGACTCAATGCAAAATCTATGGCAGCGTGCATGGACGCGACCAGGGCAGGCGAGTTACACTTTCCACCAAATCCGCCCAAATCTCCGCGACTAGGAACGATCCAGTTGTTTTCATTCTTCAGCTTGTTGAGCATACTCGTTTTACCACAACACGCCGTACCCGTTATATATTTCATACCTTTTTTATAATCTATAAGTTTCATTTTTCGTAAATATTTCATTATAGGTGATTTTATAAAACCATCTTGATTAGTCAACATATTTAAATTGGTTTTATTCCAATTTTGCGCGACAAAAGATACAGCAAAACTCTTTAGAGTGTCCACGAACGTATCGTTATAGCCGTTCAACAGATTGATAATAAAATTATTATTATCGGTGGCTATGGGCTCTGGAAAATCTACCAGACAATTTTTCCACTGATTTAAAAATTTATAACAAGTTATAAATATTATATATTTGTTTTTATTTTTAATTATAAATTCTTCATTTTTATTATACGGAGAGATGTGTCTCGATTCGTCCGGGTTAAAATACAAAGCTTTGATGACTTCGGATTTATTGGCAGAGACGCACGAATTTGACAAGTCGTAACCATCGTATTCCGAGTCTTTGTTGAAATTATTCACGTAGTCGTCCAAATGTTTGATAAATTTAATATCGTAGTCGTTTTTGGTATAACCAACCGCGAACAAATAAGAAAATATTGAAAATATAAAAGAAGGATAGTGCAGTATTTCGGATTTACTCTGCACGGCGTCCGTGAAAAACTTTTCTATATCCATCATAATATCGCGACGTCGTTCGTCGTTCATCTTCATCAACGGTCGCTCCTCAGAGCGTACGATATCGGCAGTTTGATACTTTTCAAACTCTATGATTTTCGATATGTTTTTATACGGATTGAAGTTTTCGTACAAAACCCGATGAATGTTTAAAATATACTTTACATCCAAATCTATATTAATGTTTTCCAAACGCTTGGTGATGTTGTGCGTTTTATAATTCCAAGCGCCATGTGGTTGTAATTTATTTTCTGCAAAAAAAAAATCAAACGGATTTAAAAAAAAATCAAATACATTGTATATAATTTTTCTTTACAATACTCACCGTTAGATTCGATGCTTTTAATGGTATAATATTTCATCGCGACTTTATCGTTGGTTTTGGTGTTGATAGCGGCCGTCTTTATTTGCAGTTTTGCGTCATGTTTGAAGTATTCATCGTTAATAGTGTAATCAGTACCAATGACAATGGCATCAGCCGTAGTAGTACTATCGTCGTAGTCGTCACCGTCTTCATTCAAATTTTCTACATCGACATCTATAATAAAAAATATTAATAATTTTTTTAAAAAAAATAATAATTTATATAATATTTACCGAATAAAAATGAAAAATCATCATCATCATCATCATCAAAGTCCATTTTCTTTCTTGATTTATCGTTTACATTGATATTTCTTTTATGATTATCATCATCATCATCGTCGTCATCGACACCATTATGATCGATTCTATCGTAGGAGTCGTCGGTGTTTTTATGGTACACTCGATTGTATAATTTATATGTTTTCATAACCAAGTCGTTGTCGTCGTTACAGTAGTCATCCGTATTTTTGATATCCATCGCGCTTTCTGCATTTCCTTTTCTTTCGTCTTCTAATATAGTAATGTATTTATTTAAATACGATGCTAAATCATGTCTTTCCATAATTCCGTTAATACTACTTTGAGTAAAAGCGACAACGACGACTCCGATGGTGTTTGCGGTGTTGGTAAATTGAAAAAGATACACGGTATGGAGCGTATGAATCCGATAATAAACGTGGACGCCGCTTCTTTTGCGCTTATGAACACTATACCCCGAGATCCGAGAGTTAAATTCCCAAAGTTTGTCTTTGTTAAATCAAACAACACAGCTCCCGATATAGACGAACCTGTAATGAGCATCGGCGTCCCTTGGCGTACTTATATAAAAGAAGTAGCATTCCCTCTGAAGATTGAAATATTTGAACATTTGTATTGGCCATACGAAGTGTACGGACCCCTACCAGTATACGATTCTAGAATATACATAGATTCTTTCAATCTGTATGCTTTTTACCGATAATACCAACAGTTATATAGTAATAATAAAAAATAATAAAAAGGTAGATGCTGTTTTAGAATTTCATACAGAAGATATACCCGTCGAATAATTTAAACCCATACGATTCCATAATTGTAAAATCAAAGAGCAATAAGAGTACTTATGGATCGTCGATTTCAAAAAACAAATCGGTAAAAAGACGTTTGCAGTACGCTGACGACGACGATGATGAAGAAGACAAACATCATAATCATAAACAACAAGAAGAATACAGAAGTAATAGTCGTCGCTGTCGTAACACCGAAATTATAAAATATTTAAAAATGATACACTATGTTTAATAATATTTGGAGAATTATTTTAAATTTGATATTAGTTATATCGATATTATACATCATCATAAATCCTATACCTTTAAAACTACTATTGATAAAATTAATCAATTCACCTCCGTTATACGATCCGGTTATGAAAACGGAGAAATAGTACAATTCACCATAGATGAATTTTCCACGACTTTATACTCGAATAAATCCAAAACAACGGAAAATTTAATTGTATTCGTCCAAGGTGGAGCCTTTATGATGTGCGATTCCAGAACTACGTTTGGTCTTTTAAACGAAGTCATATTGGCTTTACCCAACTACGATATCGTAGTATTTGATTATGGCGTTCGTTTTCGTTATTCTATACAAAATTCAGTTCAACATGTATATAAAGTGATAAAAAAGTGCAGAGAATTAAAATCCTATACAAGATTACACGGTATAGGCATGTCTGCTGGATCTTTAATAATAGGAGCCATGCAAAAGTGCGAATACGATAAAACATTAGACAAAGTCATGCGAATACGACCGAAAAACGATAAAGACTCTTACGCTTTTCTGTCGTTCGTGGCGTTGGTGGGTCTGTCGGACGCTAAATTCGAAAACAAATACCTAAATTGGCTGTTCAAGACTTATCTTTTACGCGGAACCGATGGTCGCGAATATTATTCGTGCTACGAGTTGCCGGAACTCCCGAAATTAATAATCAGCTCGAACAGCGAGTTCCTATCGAATCAGATTTACATGTTCGTAGCGACCGAAAAATGCAAATCTTTAATATACCTATCCAGTTATAATTTACCACACGTATTCCCGTTATTTCCAAACATACAACAAACTCTGGATGTGGTCGGTATGATCAAAGTTTTTGTAGAGAAACACGCGATGATTAAAACTAATAGAAAAATCCATCCTCGTGTATAAATAATACTGTACCGCGGCTTCCGATTGCAGTAGAATCCGGAATTCCGAACAGATAAGTGTTGTAATTATGGCATTCAAAGACGTAACGTTCGACGATACATCGCGTTCAAGACTCGGAGAATTGCTGAACGGGCGTAATCGTAAAGTTCTCAACGATTATTACTACGGATCAAGATGTTTTCGGGATTTTCAAACGTATTTTTTGACAAAAACCGAATACGAGAAGAAAATCAAACTTGACATAGAGTCTGATCCGGGAATAACGTTTGATTCTGTCAAAAAAATAATCGACAAAACTATGGAAATAGAAAAGGATTATAAACATTCGAATGCCGTTTATTTTATAAAGGGCTCGGCACAACCGGATGTGAAATATATTCCGGCGGTTATGAACAAGAGCGAAACCGCATTAATTGCTCCGCGTTTAAAATTCAAAGTGCCGAGTTGCGAACCCAACACCATGCAGCGTCTGAACAGCGGATACATCATCGACATTAGAGAATACACTCATCATCAATTTAAAAATAAAAAAATAAACGATTTGAAGAAAAAGAAGCCGCAAGATTCTTTTCTACTGATTCCGCAATTCACTTGCACCAACAAAGACGTGATACCCATACCCATGGCTATCGATAGAACGGATAAGAATATTTACTTCTTGTTCGTGTACAATAAATCTGGAGCAGAGGCCGATGTTTGCGTGTTCTTCCACTCGTTTCTCTACGAGTCCGATTTTGTCTCTTCTGTCACGCCGATCAAACCGCAAGTATTCAAACCCAGAGACATAAATAATTCAGGATGTGGCGTTTATAATTTAAAATCAAAAGTGATGTACAACGCTATGGAACTAGTGGATGGTTTTCCTGAAAAAATATCAGCACCCATATTCGATGCTGCGCAAAATAATGCCATCGCCACCGATAGGCGTTTGACTTTTAGTCACATGAACGTATTCTTTTCGCCAAGACGAAGAAATTGGATTAATAACAAGATGGTGGCATTGCCGGGTTTTTTCTCAAAAGATGGTTCCGTGTTTATACCTCCGTTCATCAATAAAGACGCCTTGTACAATATCAATACACATTGTGTGAGTTTTTTGAAAAAGAGAACCATATTGTTTAGCGTAGAGGATAAACTAAACGAAACACATTATTTGGTGAGTGGCGCTTTTGCCGATATGCCTAAATTAAAGGAATTGAATGCCAATTTGAAAAAAATAGTATATTTTGGTAATATGCTGAGATGCGACGATAAAAATGAAAATCGTTTCAAGAGCAAAAATCCTGAGTATGAAAATGACGATTTACAATTACTCAGCGATTACGATGTGGCTTTGAACAAAACACCGATGTTCGATCGTTTGATAAATAAAATTCGAGTTTCCATTCAAAATGGTGACTCGGAGTCTATGTTGGAAGAAAAGATTTTCAACGAGACCAAGAAGAGATCCAAAAGTTCAAAACTTTATAACAGTATGAAATACGTCAACGATGTTTTGTTCCCAGAAGTGTCGAAAAGAAAATACAATGACAACGATGATGATGATGGCAATTGTAAAATACAAAAAATAGATAATGATGATGATGATACCACAACCACCATCACCACAACTACTACTAGTATTACTACCATTACTGCTGATGCTGTTTCTACTATTGCCGATTCCACTGATGTTAATGCTACGACAAATGCCGCTGCTGCTTCTTCTACTACTACTATTACTACTGTTGCTGCCGCTGCTGCTGATGATGATGCATAAACAAAACTATTTTATTTTTTTTTTTTAATTATGTAGAAGGTATATGTGTATATGTATAATAAAATTAATAATTCAATAATAATGTCTGTGTTTTATTCTTTGAATTATAAAAATTTATTATTAGCCAAACATGTGTCGGATAAAATCAATATACCAGAAATAATTATAAGACCCGATCTTTCGTCGTCTGACGACGACGACAACCACGGGGATATAGAGTCTTGGCGAAAAATACGCATAATAGAAATCGAAAATTTTAACGATTGCAAAAATAGAATATTTTTACCGACAAATTACATTACAAAACAATACATAAAAAACAATCACTATGATCACAATAGTGAAATTATTAAAGATTTCAAATCGGTGTTTATGTTGTGTTTGAAACTCTGTCCAGATTTCAAAGAAAATTTATACGCGTGCAGGCGACATTTCACAGTTTATGTTAGTTTGAGAAACGAAATATTAATAACCAGATGCGATACTGGTGAAATATTTTTGGATAAAAACATAACCATGATTTATGACAAGTTCGATTTACTCGATCGTAGTATCGGAGAATTCGAGTGTTGGCTATTTTCTCACGACTTGATAAATTATACGGATAAAAAACCCAAAAACATGACTGATTTTATTTTATGCGGCAACGGCACTTGGTGGCGTTACGACAAGGGCATAATACTCTTGGGTAAATTTTCATCAAACGCAAATTGGTGTTTCATCTATTACGAATTACACCCTAGATACGAGAAAAAAGCACCGAGGATCGTTGAGACTATTGAAAAATACGACAACAGCACCACCAACGTCGCCGTCACGAGAGATTTATACACTACTCTGGCACAGAGCCGAAACTTTGGTGAAAGCGACGGCAGACAAAATTATCATATATTCAATCTATTCTACATGATGAATCAGAATCTAAATACATTTGAAAACCGCAACAATGGAAATGGATTTTCAACGACGACGTCGACAACGACACCCACATCGCCGCGATTAGGCGATACACACACGATAAACGCCGTCGCACCGGTAATCGACGACGAAATAAATCCGACAGCAACTCCCAATACCGATACCTCGAAAATAAACGCTCCGGATGTGTGTATAAACGAATGTTTGCCCAGTATAGATTGGTTAAGGGATATCAAAAAAAATATAAATTTAAAAAGATACAATTATTTTATTTAATACATTAGATATACAATAAATTTATTAATAATATAATACAACTTTGTTTTTTTTTGATTATTTATTTATACTGGTAGTGGTTGTAGTTGTAGTAGTAGTAGTATTAGTAATCGTATCGTAATTATCGGTTTCGGAATTGAAATAGGAATTAAATATGGTTCATCGTATTCCGCTGGTGTCAATAACTGATGTTTGTTTTCAATAATCACAGCATTCGCGGTCGGAGTCATATAATATGGTTTGCAATCGGCGGCAGCGACGGTAGCACTTGGTGATGGTATCGACGGTGGAAGTTCTTTTTGTTTGACGACGACAATCGGTATCGGTGGTAATGGTGTATCGTATTTAGGATAATCTATGACTTCTACAATCACTGATATAGTGTATACTGATGAATTTTCATATATGCGATCATCATTGGTTGGTGAATTTCCATATATGCGATCATCGGCCGGTTCGTTATACTGGTTTTCTTCGGGAAAAGCTGGTCCTTTATAATTATGATTTTCAAAACAATCACTGTCGAAATCGTCATTGGAGTTTACATTTTCGTTGTTGTCATTGCTTTCTGTGTCCGTGTTTTTTGCTCGAATCGTGTTGAACGGCTTTAAAAACCTTTGCAGCGCGTTTTTTATTCTCACTGGTACTTCTATTTTATACGCAGAAGTTATGGATCTTGTTTGTATGCGTGAAGCGGTTTTTTTTATTAGAAGATGATGATGACGCCGAGTACACGAAACCGGGCAAGCCC